GGTAGTTTCCAGAAAAAAAACACAACGTTGGGCAGACTAACATCATGTCCAGTAAGTACATACCTCTCACTCTTTGTTAAAGAGGCAGCCAGGTCTCTTGAAATGTGCACTTTGTCCTTTGGTTTTAAGGTCACATCCCAAATTGCTGAGTAGATTGCACGACATTCAATCTGCCTGGCTCCCAGAGATGAAAGGCTGACCTAACTTTCCTGGAATTCAAACTTGTGATTTCCTGAAGTAAAGAGACATTAACGTTGATACTGAGACATCTAAATCATTCTCCACAGTTTCACATCCCCAGGTCAAGCCAGCAAAATAGCTACAACACTTCCTTTTCAACAGGTAAAGAGCTGTTATCTGAGCCATCTCTGCAGTCAGCCACTGCTCTTTTTTTCCCGTTTTTCTCTTTTGGGGAGGTCAATGCTCAGTTAGTACTTTATGTGCTATAACAGGCTGCTAATATTCCATGCTGGACAGTATTTTCCCAGTATTTTTTATAGGGTGCCAGGCTTTTCCTAGACTTCATGTCATACAATACTTAACTTGTTTGGAATGGGTGGAGATGGAAACATAGTCTATTGAAAACATCACTGCTTCCTCTCGGAAATTTAAAGAGCCTATTATCATCCTTTTTGCTTTTGCTAACTGAATACCATGCTACTAGACCTCTATAAACAATTATATGAATGGGGTCCAGCTCTCACTTGTGGTAAAGGAGGGCATCCACCCTCCTAGTTTAGAGTATTCTGCTCCCAGGGCACTGCCTTATCATCTAAACCAGCATCTACGACCATCTGGGGTTGTGGACAGCTCATGACATTATCAACTATTGCTACTGTAAAGAGATTTGGACTTTGAGGCACTAGTTACTGTTTTACCTCTTGGGGAGGCAGTATAGCAGAGTAGCTAACTGGTGAGCTCCAGAATCAGAAGGAACTCCACTGTCACACCTTCGCTGTAAGAAATTAGGCAAGTCGTTTACCCTTTCTAAGCTTCAGATCATTTTTCCTTAAAGGTAAAATGGTCAAGGCACTAATACCCATCCCTAAGAGAAACATGAGGATTAAATAAGAAAATATATGCAGTTGATATGTATAATGTAGTCCCTATTACATAATAATGGTCAAGGGATGGGAACAGTTATTTCAGTCCTAGGTCTATCAGTTTGTTCCTATGTGATTTCAAGCACATTACTAAATTCTAGTGAGCCTTAGCTTATAAATGGGACTGATGCAAATAATGCTACCTCATAAGGTGGATGTGAGGATTTGGTGAGATTATTCTCTAAACTATAAAGCCTCTGCAAATGTTAAGCAAGATTATTATTTTGTTATTACTGCCATTGTTATTATCCCTCTGTGATCTTAATCAAAATGTTTGTGGATAACTTTCCAGAAAAAAGCTTGGAGCTAGGATAAGAGCCAAGAGATAATAGGAGAATGTGAATGGCCTCTCAGAATGGCCTTTTCGGGCCGGCCCAGTGGTGCACTCTGTAGAGTGCGGCACTTGGGAGCGTGGCGGTGCTCCCACCGAGGGTTCGGATCCCATCTAGAGACCGGTCTGCTCACTGGTTGAGCGCGGTGTGGGCGCAACACCGAGGGTTGCGATCCCGTTGCCAATTGTGGTACAGGCGCGACACTGAGGGTTGCGATCCCGTTACCAATCACGAAAAAAGACAAAAGGAAAAAAGAATGGCCTTTTCTAGCTTCCTAAATATGTGTGTATGTACACAATGTCCAATAATGTATGAGGGCACTTCAAAAAGCTCATGGAAAATGGAATTAAAAGATAGTACATATCTTTCCATGAACTTTTTGAAGGCTACTCATATATCACAAATAGGCCCTTCTCAAACTTATTCCCTAATGAGTTGGTTAACCCTTTCTTCAGAAGGATAAATTTCTTTAATGAACACCAGTGAGCTGGAGGACCAACATTTTCTTAAGTAATGATACCTTTTCTGGTGTCAATAGGAAACAGTATTTACTCACAACTGTTTTCCTTTCAAAAATCTGTCTAGTTGCACACTAGAAACAGTTTCAGCTGGTTTGTTTGTCTTGGACAAGCTGTTGAAGTGAAAAGTTTTTGCTTGGCTGAATGTGGGACAGTTTCATAACCCTCCAAGAAGCACCTTGAACGTGTATGCCAGCTCCAGTGATGGCTGCTTCTAACGTGCCTCCACTTGCCGCCCATTGTCAAGGGTGGCCAGCGTAATTAAATTAAGACAATGAGCAAAGCAACAGATGCAACCGAAACCAAGTCCCTGAGTGCTTTTGTTTTGTCACTGTCATTGTCTGCAACAAAGAAGTCACATGTGAGAGACTGGGAAGACAGCCAAATGCAAACCAGACGACATCCCAGCTGGTTTTGAATGGCCTCCACTGCAGGCGTATGTGCATGGGAACCATACTACTTGCAATACTGTCGGCCTGACTTAAGTGAATTTCAGCCTATGGCTTTGCTGTGATGCTGAGACGGTTCCAGAAAAAACAGAACAGAGGATCTCTCTGCTCAGACTTTACACTTTATACTTACTGCTTTTAGAAAAAAGAAAAAAGAATCTCTCCATTAGGGACAAAAGATAAAATCTCACATATGGTTGGCCATCCTAACACCAGTTCTTTTTGCTACAGCCCTCGTTAATTTGAAGAGTGAAGCATAGAAGATACCTGAATGTTTTCTTCTACAAATTTGGAATTAATTTGTCTTGAGAGGAAGATTGGAGATTAAATATCTCATGAGAATTTCTTTTAATTTGTTCCTGTTTCATTCTTGAGCATTTTCTTAGTTTGGGCATTCCAGAGTCTTTAAAAATCTTTTTTTAAGCTAGTATACCTCTTAAACAGAAGAAAAATTTTAAACTCAAATTAGTGAATATCTCTACTTATTAGTTAACTTGATGAGTAGTTTGGTAGAGAGGTGGTATCCTTAATAATAGCTACGTCGGGGCTTTGATGAGCCACGTACCATCAGCAGGGTCAATTGAGAATTAAACAGAAATATTTCAAGGAGTTTGGGAACATGAGTGATGCTATTCTGAAGCCCTATATGTCTTTCTCTTATTTTCCTAGGGAACTTTTATAAGAAAGAACTTCTACGGGAAAATAATAAGATGTAAGATTAGGAATAGAAGTTTAGCAATAGTTTAACATTAACAAGTACATGTGAAGTGGGCTTAATATGTATTTTGTACAGTAACAAATTCACATTAAATGGACTTGGTAAAAGTCGTATGACATTTGAGGAAAAAGCACTAGGATTTTAAACAGATGGCATTTCAAGGTCTTCTATACAAATGCCCAGTTTCTTCCCACCAGCTTTTTTTGCAGTGGCCACAGAGCTAGATGTTTTAATAAGTGTTTTTAAACAATGATGCCATCTTCCTTGTACTCAGCGAGTACAGGATATTGACCATGAAGTCATAAAGTGCTAGCTACCTTTCATGAAGAACTTGGTGATAACTCTAATGTTCCAGGTAGAGCTGAAAAATATATGTAAGAAAAATGCCAAATTCCTATGGCCCTTGGCCAATAGGTATTATTTCAAAGGAATGGTGATAGATTTTTCCCAGTCTTAGTATTAAAATCTCTCACCCTCTCCAAGTCTCACATCTAAGTGATCTGTAAGTTTCCACAGCTCCTAGCAATGTTGTGATTGGGTTGGTGGTCATTTCCTTAGCCAGAAGGAACAGTTTGGAGATTCTAGCCACCATGGTGAAAACACTTGGTTTGGGTCTTAATGGAACCATGGTCTAGGGATAAGGGATACTGTGGCTCCTTGAACCTCACACTATAACAATTGTCCATTAAATCCTCCAATAGAGGGCCCTCCAGCTAAAGGTAAAATCAAGAAAAGAAATACCTTAAGTTTGTGTATGTGAATGCCATTTCCTCAATTTTATTTCAAATCTCTCTATTTGTCTAAATACTTTGATATTTAGATATAGTCAAAGTTAAAATGATAACTATAGGAAAAGTATAATGACTTGGTTCTGCACATCATGAGAGGTCCCTGCAATATCCTGGGCACTGTTCTAGACACTGGGGCTGTAACAGTGAACAGGCAAGTCTCTGCTCTCACAGGGTGTCTATTCTAAACTAAACTCAACATTCCTTAAATAATAGCATATCTTGTTGATAAGTTAATGGTAGCACCAAAGCAAGGAACCTGGGATTTTTAGTCTTGGAATGGTTGTTTTCTGATAAAATGGCATAACAATAAGAAAAATGAGTAAATAATAATAATAACAACAATAATAATAATAGCAGCTAATACTTATGTAGTGCTTATGACGTGTGAGGCCTATTGTAAGTGGTTTCATATACATTAATTCTTTAATCTTTATTCCTATAAGGTAAGTACTATTATTATTCTATTTTATGAATGAAGAAACTGAAACACAACAGACTGTCATTTGTACAAGTTCACATAGATAGAAAATGTAAGAATTGGGGTGTGAGCTCAACTCAATATGTCTGTGATTTTGCAGACTCTAAATCGATTACAAAATTTCCCAATGTCCTACTTCTCAATTTCTGCCTTTTTCCAGAGAAAAAAATGAAAAGGAAATATCTCCTTTTTACAAAAATTAAAGCAGGACAAAATGCAATAAAACAACAGAAGATGATCCCAGAATTTGATTGATTTTTTTCTTACTAGGAGAAGATCTATAGGCCAGAAGGCTTGATTTTTCAGCATCCCCTTTCTCTCAGTGAATCTGTGATAGAGGCAAATGAATAGAAATATATCTTTGTGTGATTATGAAGCAGTCTATGGTATCCACGCCACCAGGGATACATAGAAACAGCCTGAGTAAGGTTTGGCCAAAGTATTAACTAAAGGCTTGTCCATCTACATATGTCCTTCTCAAAAAAAATCAAGACCCAAGCTCTCTATTAGCTTGACTGATAAGATATAAGATAAGTTGAAACCCAATTTAGAAAGAGATGGGTACTTAAAACCTCATCAAGTTAATGCTGCTTTTTCTTCTTTTTTTATAGGAAGTACATTTGAAGAACGCAAGTAGAGGGAGTGCAGGAAGCAAGAACTACAGAATGTAGGAAGACCCTCCTGAGGAGTGAAGAATGACATGGCATCGCAGAATCCTTTACTCTGCACCAGTTACCTGTTAAACATTGGAATACCTACCAAAAAAAATAAGTTTGACAGCATTTCAAGGATGGGCATTCCTCCCCAATGAAATACACAAGTAAACATTCCAACATTGTCTTTAGGAGTGATTGTTAAAAGCTTTGCACCTTGAAAAAATGGTCCTGGAGTTAGTAGTTTGCTGTTGATCCTTTATCAATAATGTTCTATAGAGAAAAAAAAATATATATATATATATATCTTAGTCCCTGCCTCTCAAGAGCCACAAATGCATGGGTGTTGTCTAGATCCAGTTGCACTAAATTCCTCTCTGAATCTTGGCTGCTGGAGCCATTCGTTCAGCAACCTTGTTTAAGTGGTTTATGAACTGTTTTCTTATTTGCACTTCTTTCTACACAACACAGGCTGTTTGTTCTACAGTGTCTGATAATCTTGTTTGTCTGTCCCTACCATGCCCCTTCATTACCTTTCTATTTGCCAAATTTGGTCCCCTCAAAAGCAGCAGCAAGTAGTCAAGTAGCACACCAATTTTTAACCCATAAGATTCCATCTGTGGCATTTGTACCAAATATAACTTGGATGCATTTGTTTTAGACAGAAAGCTTTATTTTTCCACATCATGCTAAAAAAATAATTCAAATAGTTGCAACTTTGAGGCCAATCATTTTTAGGCATATGTTTTAAACATAGAAAGTCTCTTAAACGCTAAATGGTTCCTTCGAATGATGAGTTAGTGTGCAACCTGATTAATACCCTTTCTCCTATTTTTTTTCCATATAGAGCACTATGTAAATTTAGCATATCAATAATACAGGATATATCAAACAGTATGTAAAACTCTGTTTTTTAGTACATTGGTGCTATTTTGTAGTTTGTTATATGAAAGAGTCTGGCCAAAACGGTAAAAGGTGAAAGCAAAACAAAAGGCAAAACCTGGAGCCAAAGATGACACAAAGGGAAGAGTACTGAAAAACCCAACTATTTGGGAAAGAAGGTAAAGTCCCCTCTTCCAAAAGGAACTTCAGACACAAAAGTCCACTGATGCAAATTTGATCGGAGAGTCCAGAGAGGAAGCCGTGGAATGGAAAAAGCAGGCGGCTAGGAATTTTAACAGTCCTGGTTTCTTTTTCTAACTGAAAAAACAAACATCTGCCAGCTCTGCCACTGTGTGACCTTGAGAAAGTCACTTCACCTCTCTGTGCCTCAGTTTCCTCATCTGCAAAATGGGGGCAATACGTCATCTACCTACCTCAAAGGGGTGGTATGAGGATTAAAAAGATAAAGCTTCAGATTTTTGCACTGGGTTGCTATGTAGGTGTAAGATCAGAGCCCTTAAGTTGCTGTGATAAAAGGAATTCTATAAATAACCAATTCACAGCAAAGCTAGAGTCTGATTAACCAAATTCTCCTGACATCCCAATTGTTGTCAGTGAAGCTGTCCAACTAACTGTCCAACTAACTTGTTAAAATCTAACAGCTCAATCCCTTTTAAAACACTTTTCAAAGTAAGTTAGAAACATTTGAATTACAATATGATATTGAATTTTGCATTTGGATTTATGAATATAAAGATAAGTGAAAAGAGAGGAAGGAAAAGAAAAAAGGAGAAAAAAAAAGATTTCTACTGGTGAAAAGGTAATTAATTACTCTATTACTTAGCACTCACTAACTCTTCCAGGCAGTTACTATCTCTCTAGTAATATCTCTTTTAATGTTGTAAATGATACTCTCTTCATTTTGAAAAGCATTTTTTCCTTTTCAAAATATAAGAAAAATAAGGCAATATAAGAAAAATAGCTCAAGATTTTAAATATTGAAATAACATCTAATAAAAAGTCACAAAGTTATCTCTTTTAATGAACTTTACTCTTATGCTTGGTTATGTATACATATAATTTTTTAAGTTTTGTTAAAATATGCTTCACTAAAGCTGTAGTTGAGAAGCAAAAACTTCCTTCACAACTAGAAATATTCTCTCACATCTGCTTTCTGTGGATGTATCTTACTCATTCAACTGAAAATTCATATCAAGAAAATCCAATGGTGAGGAAAGGTGCACGGTAGCCTAGAAAATGTTCCCCACCTGTGGATCGAGATTTTCTTACTAGAACAATGAATCATCTAGCATTCATATTTTTTATCTGCCTTAGAATTTTTTGGTAAAAAGTACCCAGGCTTGATTGTTTCATGCAAATTTTATCCTTTTTATTCTTGGAAAGTGTATTTGAAAAACAAAAATGACATCTTCAAGTTTTCTCCCACTGGGTCACCTCAAGGTTCAGAGACCAGAAAAAAACTACACAACAAAAAAGACTTCCTGGATCTCTGAATATATGCAAAAAGAAGTCCCTATTTAGTGGAGCACCCCTGTTCGGTCAACAAGCATTTTAACTCTCAGTCCAGGTATTTGAATTGAGCACTTCGGGCATGCTGAGCAATATTCTGATCATTATGGACAGATATAAACGAAATTATACATAATTTTCGCCCTCTGCCTGTTTTACAGACATATGGATTCTATGGAATGAGATGCTGGACCACTCCTCCCAAGATGGCAGTTCTAATTTTTATTTCTTGTCCCCAGTGTTTACCTTCTAAAATCACTTATTCCCAGCAAAATTTTACAGACAGTCTTCTTCAGATTTATGGGCTTCCTGAAATAGTTGGGTATGGAAATTCTAAGAGTGTCTATGACATACTTTATTCAATTAATTCTATTCACAAATATTCCCCAATGAAAAAACTTAAATATGCAATGCCATATTATCTTTCTTAGCTTTTTTCAACACATAATCTTCTCCAACAGATTATAAATCAACTAATTATAAATTATAATAACCCACTAATTATACTAACACACTATTTTATTTTTAAATGAATTAAAACTAGAATACAAATTGATGAAAACTCTGAAAGTCAGTTGATCACTATATGCTACAGCAGGATGACCCAGGATTGATAGAAAGGAGCACCTAAAATTTTACAACTCAAAAGTTTATAAGCTTTACTTTCAATTCATATTGCTTTAAAATTTTTAAAATGGGGAAATTTCAAAATGTTTATAAAAGGAATCTAAATATTGGTAAGAATGAGCTTTCAACTTATAGGCTCATTTTCAATTTAACTGAAAATATTCAATATCTAGGTCAAAGTTCTGTTCCCACCTCCCCAAATAGTATAAGGTATTATTTGAACATCTTAAGATGAGGAGGCTCCACTGAAAAAGTTAACATATGTCCATCAGAATCCACTCATCTAGAATAAAGAAAAGCTCTCAACCCCACCCACCCCCCCACACACACATACACACACACTCACCCTAAGAATCCAGTGGAATACTAAGAAAAAATCCTTCATTGAAAATCTTGTTAAAAACAAACAAACACACACACACACAAAAAAAAAGCCTGGCCTCCTTTGAGAATCCTTCCACCACTTGGAATGTCAATGTTTGTGTAGATGAAACCATCTCATGCACCATGGCTCCAGGGTTTCTGTTACTAGTTTACATACTAGGGAGAATGCTTAGAATGGAAGATGTAGCACATTTTGCTTTTCCATTTATTGTTTGGCCAGCTATGCCAATGTGGTGCTATTGTTTCTTTAAGAAAGTACTTGACTAAAAAAAAGAAAAAAAGAAAAAAAAGAAAGCATAGACATATTTTTTTAAAGTATGAAAACAACAATTCTATAGATAGATGGCTTAATAAAATAGCATTAGGTCTAGCCACCACCACCTTTCAACTTTTTGTCACTCACAAGTAGCATACTGTTCACCAAATTGTGAATTTGGTGCAGGTGCAGGAGACGGAATTTGTTTTTTAGTTAGAAGGCTCCATTATTTCGTTGGCTCTCAATTTAGCTAAATTAGCAATATATTATCCAATATGAACACCTCGATCAAGAGCATGGAGTATAAATGGGGAGGGGAAGACCTTATAGGCAAGTGGCAGAACTAGAAAATGATTAAGTTACTTATTGATTTTGGGGGTCTCTCTGTTCTAAAACAGATATTCAGCAAGGGGAGAAAATAAAAACAAAGAGAAAATATACTTAAATTCACCTGTTAAAAATAGCTTCTGCCACATATCCTCCTTGGGTATTCTTTGGCATTTCCTGGCTTGTAGCAAACATTCTCCCTTCACCCAAACGTCTCAAAGAGCAGTAGCTCTCGTAAAAAGCAATCACTGATCTCATTGGAAATGTTGGAAAGTATTTCCTTATGAGATGGGGGTTATCTACTGATAAAGACAAGAATTTATGAGAAATTGTTGAAAGAGATGGCTAATAATCTGTGAAATTTTTTTTGTTTTTTGTTTTTATTCACTTTTTTTTTTACTTTATACAGTCTATGAATATCTTAATGTTCAAAAAATGACTTGGTCTTTTTATTCTTTTTTTATATTGGAATGAAGAATAAGTTAAACCCACATAGATTCTTTAAAACTATAGGCTAGATAGAAGTGTATGTTTGACTTGTTGAAGCTATAATCAGACTATTTAAAATGTTTTGCTATTTTTAATCTTAAAAGATTGTACTAATTTATTAGAGCAGAACCTGTTTGGCTCTCCTCATAAGAAAGAGCATTCCTATTCAAATTACATGGGCTTTTCCATCATCATTTTCAAAAGATAAATATGATTTATCCTATGGCATCATTTATTTTAAAATAGAAGAATTGTGAGTCTTTATGCCCCTCCCCTGCAAAAATCATAAAGTCCAGAATCTGAGAGGGCAAAAACAAAAGGAAAAATTTGTTGTTGATTCCTTTTTTCTTGTTTCGTTTTTAATGCTAGTGTTTAATCCTGTAGTATATATATTTGCTTATTGCTATTTTAATACTCTATAAGAATTTCCTGTTAGGTATTAGAAACTGATTAATAGATATCTTTTTTGTGTGATTTCTATTTAAAAAAATAAAAATAAAAGAGGCAGGAAGATGGTCTAAAGCTTTAAGTGCATATGGTACAGGACAAAGATATCAATTTAAATAACCAAGTCCTATCTGAGACAATGCTTTTTTTTTTTTTTAATAGAAACCTCTCACAGATAAGACAGAGGCCCAGGGGATTTTTGAAACTGTCCTTATTTCTCCTAGTCCTTATTTTTTTTTAGCATCTGCCCCAGAATTTTATGAAAGGTGGACCAAGCTGAAACCCTAGAATTAAAGGAACCTCTTTTAAAACACATATGTCACATATTCCCTTTTAATGTATGATTACATTGGATTACATTGATCTTAAACATGGTTTTTCTCTCTCCCCATTATTCAACTGTCAGTGATATGGTCTCTCAAAGGAAAAAAAAAAAACTTTTTTTAAATTAAAAAAGAGAGAGAGAACACAAAAGTCCTAATGTTACTGCCCAACTGAAATACAGCTTAGATGGAGACAGAGTTTCTCCTACTTAATAATGCAGGTTGATTCACCTGTCACCTTCAAAAATGACCTTTCGCAATCTTTAGAATTTGCCTTTTTTTTTTAATTGCCCAGGTCAAAAGTAAACATTACTCATTTTCTTTTGCCCAAAATCCACTAATGGAAAATAGAAAAAATGAAAACAGTACTCTAAAAATCCCTTTCAAACCACCCACTGACCCCACTCACGGACTCATAGCAGAGTCACTTGTGTTAATCGCTTAATCTGATTTTGTTTGGATATTTATCTTGTACCTGCTGCTAAACACACTGCAGGAGGGACTCTCAAACCTCAAGCTGTCTAGTCACATATCTCATCTGTGTCTGTGCATCATTAAAATGTCTGTTCAAAATATCAAAAACTTTCAAACATTATGCAGCTTATATTCAGTTAACATAAAGGACCCAAATACCATGTCAGATCTCTTTTTGCTGAAAGAGTTAATGAACTATGAGAATTCGGATTATATCATGAATTTTGCTTCATGTATTTTTATCACACTTATAGGCTTTGTGTGATAAATAAACTTACAGACACTGAATTAATTTTCCCTGCTATTTTTAAACCAAAAAGTAATGATTGGTCATTTATCATATCTGTCTTAGTTCAAAAGCATATTTTTTTCATTAATTCTGATTGTGTTTGAAATCATTATTAAATTCACTTATGGCAGAGGAATATCAACCTTAATGACTTCTAAAAATGTAACTAACTGAATCATTATCTTACATTTACTGTTTAATAAGCATATTTTGAAAATGTATGGCTAGAGTGTCACAATAAAATGGTATATCTTTCTTTAGTAATTACATTAAAATTAATCATGTTTGATTAATTAGTTCTTTTAAATAATGGTGTAATGTGTCATTCCTTAAGAATTCTACTGTTATACAGCATTTTTATTAAGGTCACTGCAACAAATAAACATGAAAACTTACCCAGAAAAATAAAACTAATTATACACCAAAACGGAGATATCTTATAGAATTTACAGATTACATTTAAAAATAAATATGTTTCAAAGGACTTATACAAACTATATAAGAGATGTATGAATTGTACAATATGTGCATTAACAATAAAACATATTTAAGTAACTGACCCCACTCACTGTAACTCAACAGTGAGTTATAATCCATGGCGTTTGGGAAAAGATTTTCTTGCCAAAAGGTCCCGACATATCATATAGGATACATAATATGCCAATGGCATTTAATACACTCACATACCAAAAGATTTTATGAGAATGTGATCTCTCAGCATTGAGTTTTTGTTTCAATAAATCTTTCTGGGGCTGGGTTAGCTCAGTTGATTAGAACATGGCGCTGATTACACCAAAGTCCAAGGTTCAATTCCCATACTGGCCAGCCACCAGTAAATAGATAGATAGATAGATAGATAGATAGATAGATAGATAGATAGATAGATAGATAGATAGATAAATAAACCTTTCTAATTCTTGACTGAATAGATGGTGTATCAAACTCACAACAGCATTTATAGAAGTACAAGGCATAAAGACTAATAATTTCTCTCTTGTTTAAAAGCATTTCATTCCATTTTACTTTTTAAAACCCGTCATTAACTATTTGGAAGTTATCCAAATATAAAAAAGTCTCACGAGTTTTGTGCTTGGTTTTAAGGAAATAAGACTGAAGTTTCCTTTATTTTCCCACGTGTCCAGCTCATTATCCTTCCCAACCTCACTCCCTCAAAATTTCCACAGATGTCTCTGGGAGTGACATTCTTCAGGCCCCTCTTTCTCCAAATGTCCAGTTCAGGCTCTCAGCATTTTGCCTTGCATGGTCATGGTCTTCCATATTACTTCTTCCCACCCTCCACCAAGACAATACCATTCTCCCTTCATTCACACGAGGCTAATCGATTTATGCATTTTCACTAACGGTTTTGCAGACCATGAAGTGGGAGGCAGTTAAGCACAGGGTAGAACAAGGCTTCCAATTAATGTCAAACATCACTGTCACTGTTAACACAATTAATACTATTCCTCCATCAAGGAATCTCTGGCTGTTCATGTGCCTCCCATTATAGTAAAACCCCTTCGTCTCTTCTGCAAACTCTCTTAGGAACTGCTTGCTATCCAATTCTTCATCCCCTCTCTTAGAAAGAACTTGCAAAAAATTCCACTGTGTTCTCATGCAGAGCAATCTTCCTCCGTCACAGCTTTACCCATAGTGGGGGTGGGGGCAGGGCTGACTCACCTTTTATTACTGAGTATGTCCAAAGGGTTCTTTCCTAAATAAATGAGCAATTCTATCCCTAAGAGAAATTCTGTCTTTCTTCCAGGTCATCTGGGTCAAATTACAGCTTCTTTTAAAAATAACATTTTCTTTCTGTAAGATCTTTATCAGTGATAATTAGCACCATTCCAACAGTAACAAGGGGTAATGTTTCCTGAGCACTTACTGTAGGTCAGTCACTACACTCAGTGGTTTACCTGCATTATCTCATTCATCCTTATTAAAAAACCTATGCACTATTATGAACGGTATTTTACAGATGAGGAAATTGAGACTCAAAGACATTATTTAACTTACTGAAGTTCACAGACAGACAGAGCAGGCTTGAATCTGGGTTGGAGGACACCAAAATCTGTGTTCACTACTTCACCATTCATGCCCCAATCCAGACATAAGGACAGCTGGGTATACTGACTGATACATTCTCGTTCAAATTTGGTTTTACTAGCTACAGGCAGAAATACAGCTAATTGCACCTTTAAGTGATAAACTATTTTTGAGTATGATATTTTCAAGATAAATAAGCATTTCTGCACAGTAACCAATGTATCTAACAATTACTCGCTACCATTCTTTTACTCATTCCCTTTTCAATGTCAGTTTTGGATAGTGCTTCATAACATGTATATTACATCCAAGGATATACTAATCTCAGGATACCTCAGTGAGGAAGGTTAAGTCTTGGGCCCTTATACAATCCAGGAATAAACCATATCCACATGAGTGAAATTGGAAGTTGTTCATAAAGAATCTTACCAAGAACTCAGGCAACAATCCACCTATTTTTCTCTTGACAGCTTATCGAAGTCAGTGTGTTCTCAAGAGGCATGGTTGAATCAAGCTTCCAGAGAAAAACTGTGGTCTGATAGCCTGGAGTTTCATGAGATCCACATTCCTATATCCCTGTCCTTCAAAACAGCTTTAGTCAGCCACACTAGGAGTTCCCAGTGGGTACAGTGCTGGCACTAGATGGCATTTGGGAAATGTGGGGACGTTTGGGGTTATAGCAATGATTAAGGAAAGCATCTGGCGTTTGTTGGGCAGGGGCCAGGGCTCCAGACATTTCAAGTAGGTGATAACCCTGTTTATAATCACCTAAGCCTAAAATATAATTCTAGTTGATTTATAAACTCAAAGTATTTTTGCATAATTTTAACATAAGCTGAATTTTCCAGGAATGCAGTTAACATGTACTTTCTTTTGTTTAGAACTTTACCAAGTAGTGGGCACTGTTTTAGAAAATCACATCATGGATGGCAGTGTTAATTGTACTATTTGAATCTCTTCACTGCACACCTGTATAAGTCTGTACATGCAGATGTCACATGCATGATTCTCCACATAGGTGTATAAATGTGTACAAATCAAACCACTTTGATACATTGTCTAGTAAGAGTTGTGCCTGAGCATTCTATCTCATAAGGCATGTTATTTTATATAACCCTTTTCTTTTTATTTCTCCTTTATATTATAGTTAGGCATTATTTTGCTTTTTGTTCAAACTGTGTACGTTAGTATTATCTAAAATTTCACTTCAGGACTTTAAAGAGTATATCATAAAATATTTGTTATAAAGAGGAGAGCTTCAGGTATGATAAGGTTGAACTACTGGGCTGTACTATCAATTATAACCCTCTCTGTGTCATGATGACAGATGGATGGCAAAGGCTTCGCCTCCTTCTCAGTGAGGCGTCCTAAGTGTGAAGCTGAGCTGAAAGTTGGTATCTTTCTCACCTGTTTACGAATAGAGATTAAACCTCTTTGAGATCCCATAAAGGATAATGGTTATGGTTAATACAACATCTGGTTTCTAAATGTTCTTTTCTTCACCCTGTGATGAGATGAGATGACTTGGAAAAGAATAAGGCAATCACTAAAAACAGAAACAGATGTAAATTGGATTTGAGACAATTGTAGCAGTGCATCAGAAGTAAAATTTGACCTTGGACTTCAACTAAGGTAGGAAATGTAGCCTGGCAGGGGGTTTTCTCTTCTTAGTTAAAGAGCAAGAGAATTAAAGATTGAGTAACTGTCCTGTAATTTCCCAACTTTACTTTGCTTATTTAACTCAGTGGCTCCTGCCTCGCCCCCAACCTCCTTCAGAGGACACGATGGGGAGGGTCTGTCACTCCAAATGGAAATTTGTGGGGTTACATGCTCTTTTCATGGCAACTTCTCTATACATCTATACAAATGCTGTGGCTGACCCGTCATTCCACCCCATAAACATGGAACTGTCCTTCCTGGCTCCAGATCTCTAAAAGGTTAAAAGAGAGGTGGAGGAGTGATTGCTCCTTGAGAGAGGGAAGCAGACAACAGTAAGAGAGGAAGAAACATTACCCAGGATTGTTCTCCATCTTATGTTTGCCAGAGCTTTTAATTCAGCCACCCTTATGTAAACAAAATACCCAAAGATAGGGCAACCACAGAATAGAATATCTCGCCTATTTCTTCTGCCTCTCTCTGCTTTAAAGGTCTTTTGGAAATAAATACATTCCCATTCCCCTCTTAAAGTCAAACAGGTTCTCTTAGACTGATAATATTGAAAAGTCCCTTCTGGTATCTCTAGAAGTCAATGTTGCTGTAAAAGGTATAGTGAAATAATTTAATACAGATTTATGTTAGAATGTGCTGGTTGTTTACTTGTTTGCTCTCATATTCATTTTCTAAAATTCCCTTGATCTGCTCTGTTTCACAAGCAACTGCATTTCTCAGCACTTATGCCCTCTGGTTTCTGGGGAAGTTCAGCCCACAGGAGGCACTAGTAAAAGATGCAGGACAGGAGGAAGAAGGAAGCCAAGGTATTTTTTCCCTTTTCTCTCTGCTTCAAGTATCATTTTCAGCTGTAGTTGCAGCTCTTCCCTCCATGGTCCCTGCCTCCCATTGCAAGCAGCACCCTGTCCCCCAGTGATCCATTCAGATGGTTTTTCCCAAATGGGAACACCACCACCTTTCCAGCCCTAGGGATGGTAGTGAATCCCTGATATCGTTCATCTCTGAGAAGACTTTACTGCCTTATTTGGCTATTCATCTCTTCCATCACCTGTATTAAATCCTCTCTGTATAAAACACCTAGAATGGTTTCTGCTCCCCTCACTGGACCCTAACAGAAATAGGAATAACATAGTGGTAAGAAGCATGAGTGCTGAAATCAGGGAGATGTGGGTTTGTGTCATGGCTCTGAAAATTGTAACTTGGTGATTTGGACAAATTAAAACAACTTCTATGAGGCTCACATTCCACTTCCATAAAATGGTAATAATAGTAATATCTGTCTCATTTTAATATTTGAGGACTAAACATTATCATGCAATAAATAGTGCCTAAACTTCTAGATTTCTCAAAATAGCGAAATTTCCAAAAATAAAAGTAGAAATTGGGAGAAATTGACATAGGGTGGCAAAATCTTTATCTGGCGAAAATAAGGACATAAAAAAAAAATCTATCATCACCATTGTGTCTAAATTAAGAGGGAATTAAGTTTTTAAAAAAATGGTTTGACTATAATCTCTGAATAAAGAGTGGTTCCTTAAACTGAATAAATTAAGCTGTATGGAAAACACACCATATTGTCTCAATTTATTCTTT